TACATGATGAATGTCATGAAATAAGAGAATTAGCTTTAAGTCTTATTGGACGTTTATCAAATATAAATCCAGCTTATGTTTTACCACCATTAAGACATTTATTATTACAATTATTAACTGAATTAGAAATTGGATGTTCATTAAGTGGAAAAGAACAAGCATCAAGATTATTAGGACAATTAATTGCAAATACACCAAGAATTGTTAGACCCTATATGCAATCAATAACTCAAGCACTATTACCATTAATAAAATTACATGAACAACATTCAAATGTTCTTATTGCCTTAGTACGAACAGTTGGTGAACAAGCACAAGTTTGTGGTATTGATCTTGATCAACGTATACATGATTTATTTCCTATTTTAATAAATATGATGCAAGATACATCAAATTATCGTAAACGTGAAGTAGCATTATGGACAATTGGACAAATTGTTGAAAGTTGTTGTTATGTTATTGAAACATTACAAAAATATCCTATTTTACTTGATGTACTTTTACAATTTTTAAAATCTGAAGAAACACCATTTCGTCGTGAAACAATACGTGTTCTTGGTTTTCTTGGCGCAATTGATCCTTATCATGTTCGATCAAGTAATGATCCTTTACGTTCATTATCATATGATGTTAATGATATAACATTAACACATCGTGTTCGTGATGAACCTGATCCAATAGAAATATCTTCAAATGAACTTTTAGTTGCATCTGGTGCAATATCTTTACATGATTTTTATACAAAAATGGCAATTAATGTTTGTCTTCGTGTATTAAAAGATTCTAATACTCCACAATTACATTTAAAAGCTGTTCAGGCTATATCAATCATTCTTCAATGGCTTGGAAGTACTTGTACACAATATGTTTCATTAGTTTTACCACGTTTATTATCTGTTGTACGTAATACTGATGATAGAAATTTAGTCCCATATTTTCGTCAAATAAATATTATAATAATATCAATAAAAAGTTCTATAACACCGTATGTTAATGATGTTGTACAATTAATACGTGATTATTGGGATAGTCATTCCGAGTTACAAATTTTACTTATACAAACAATTGAAGCATTAGCAGCTGCATTAGATAGTGAATTTCATCATTATATACATTTATTATTACCATTTGTTATGAAAACATTTCGTATAGATACAAATAATGTTAATATAAATCAATTATCATCATCAAATCCAAATCAAGATAGACAATTAATATTATCACAAATGTTTTCAACATTAAATAAATTTGGTAAAACATTAAAACCACATTTTAATGTTGTTTTACCATCAATATTAGATATTGCATCAACAAGTGCCTATCCAATTAAATTACGACAAGAAGCATTAGATACAATTGAACAATTGGCTGATAAAGTTTTCTTAAGTGATTATGTATCTGCTATATTACAAATCTTATTACGTATTATACGTAAAACAACACAATTACAAATGAAATGTTTAGATATAATATTAATATTAGCACAACAAATGGGCAAACATTTTCTTGTATTTAGTTCACTTGTATCAAAAACAATGGATGAAATGAAATTACAACATTCAAAATATGAATTATATATATCAAAATTAAAAGATTCATCATTTGTTGATGTACAATCAGAAATAATAATTAATTCAAATAATTTATTAAATCAAACAACAGGTGAACAGAAAACAAAAGATGAAAAAATGTTATATACAATGCGTACAGTTCAATTAAGTGCACATTGGACACAAGCTATGCAAAGAAATGCAAAAGATTTACCAATG